CTACACCCAGGTCACAAGGAGAAAGGCCACCCCATCACCAACTATTACCAATACAGTTTGGGGATCCTGGCTTTGTGCATTCACAACAAGAGGACCGATCCCGAAGTGATCCGCAAGCTGCTGTTGGCTGAACACAACGGCAGCTTTTATCACCATCAGACACTCTCCGTAGGTAAGATCAGCCCTGCCCAAAGCTTCCAGGTGGCCAAATTGTCCCTCTGGTCAGCGAGAGGTGGCTTTCCAAGGATCATTCCGAGCTTCACTTTCATTTCAAGAAGAGGCTGGACTGCCATTTGTCAGAAATGATCTCCTGCTTGGGAGGGGGTTGGACTAGATGACCTACAGTAGAGCGGGGGTGGGATTGATGGAAGGGCCCCTGGGGCCATCTTGGGACCTCACCCCCTCTATCTTTTCCTGTCCTCCTTCGCTCCAGACACAGAAGCCATGGCCGGCTTGGCTTTTGTCTGCTTGGAACAAAGCCCCACATACCCCCACAACCTCCAGGTTGGCGTGCGCAGAGCCAGGAAACGAGCGAAAGCAAAGATCCTGGAAGCTCGGACTCCGGACGGGGTTTATGGGAACATCTACAGCAGCCCCCTGGCAGTGCAGGTGAGGAGAAGTGGAGGTAGCTTGGACCTTGGCGTTGCCTTCCTTGAGGGTAGGGTGGGGTTTCTCTTGGGCTGGAGGTCCTTTACTGGCAGTCCTCGACTTACAACAGTTTGCTTAGTGGCTGAAGTGAGCAATGGCACCGGAAAAAAGTGACTTATGAGCCTTGTTCACACTTACGACCACTGCAGCCTTCCCCAGGGTCACGTGCTTTATGGCAGCTGAATTTCAAAGCCTTACACTTTACATTTGGATGTTTGTCAGCTGACTCACATTTGTGGCGGTTGCAGTGTCTCAGGGTCGATCCCCTTTTGCGACCTTCTGACAGGCAAAGTCGGTGGGGAAGCCAGATTGACCTAACGACCGTGCGACTAATTGAGCAACTTCAGGGATTCGCTTAACAACCGTGGCAAGGGAAGTCGTAAAAATGGGACACAGCTCACAAATTTCTTGCTTAGCCACATGCATTTTGGGCTCCGTTGGGGTCGTAAGTTGAGGACTGCCTGCCTTCATGATTAATGACGTATACGGGTGGCCCAGAGGTGGAGACGCTTGCCCTCCGCTTGGGTGGTTGAGAGTTCAATCCTAGGCAGCGACATACGTTTCTCTATCAAAGCAGAAAGAGGAAAGGTTTGCTGTGTACTCCGCGTAGGCGTCAGGAAAGGCATCCGGCCAGTAAACGCTCGGCTCCATTCAGTCTCCCCGACTCTACCCCAAATCAAGGGATTGCAGGATCATACAAAAGAAAAAAAAAGACATATAAGGAGGCACCGCCGTTAAAGACACCGAGCCTCTCGGCTGGAAATCTGACATCCCGGGTTCAAGACCCGTGCAACGGGATGAGCTCTTGTTCCTTCCCCTGCTTTTGCTCACCCACCTAGCGGTTCAGAAGCATGCAAAAATGCGAGTAGATCAATAGGTACCACTGGGTTGGGAAGGTATCCGCATTCCATGATATAGTCATGCTGGGCACATGACCACAGAAGCATCTTTCGGACAACGCTGGTTCCCGTGGCTAAGAAACGGGGATGAACACCGCCCCCTAGAGTCAGATACAACTGGACTTTTACTTTAATGACCTATAGAGGGCGCTTTCTTCTCTAATCGGGTGAAGTTCTTCCTCCTCTTCCTCTTCTTCCTCCTCCTCTACTTTCTCCTCTTCTTCCTTTTCCTCCTCCTCTTCCTCCTCCTCCCCTTCTTTTTCTTCTTCCTCTTCCTCTTCTTCTTCTCCTCTTCCACCTCCTCCTCCTCCTCCTCCTCTTCTAATCTTGGGTGTTTTCCATCTGCTTGGCAATCTAGTTTTTGAGTGCTGTCGGAATGAGGCAGAACCAACAGGAGTTCTCCAGCGGCATGGTGGCCCTGAGGCACAGACTGGAACAGGGAGACTTCCAAAACAACCTGATCCGGTCACAGCTGCTGCCTGCCTTGTATTGCAAGAGTTACGTGGACATTGCCAGCATGGCGTGCCAAACTCAGACAGGTAAAAGGAGAAGGAGGGCACGGATACTGATTTCGGCCGAAGGAGAAAGGGGCGTCCAACCTTGGCAACTTTCGGCAACTTTTTAAGCAGTGGCGGAATTCAAACGGCGTAACAACCGGTTTGGTGGGCGTGTGCGCTTTGCACAAGTGCACTGCGTGTGCGCAGTAACCTTGAAAACAGCTCTAAAATTTACCTTCTACTGCAGCCCCGATGAGTAAAACAGCTGAGGCACGGCAATCCTCCCTGCCACACCTATCAGCTGGGCTTCAATTAAGAAATATGGGGCAGGGACAGGTGGGCAGGGCCAATTGATTGCCGGAACAACCGGTTCGCTCAAACCAGTCTGTACCGGCTGAATCCCACTCCTGCTTTGAAGACTCGTGGACTTCAACTCCCAGAATTCCCCAGCCAGCATTGCTGGCTGGGGTATTCTGGGAGTTGAAGTCCACCCATCTTAAAATGCCTACAGTTCGGACACCCTGCTCTAAGCCTTAGGATTTCCCAGGGAATAATTTCTGATTCTCCTTTTTTTTTTCCTTCACAGACAGTTCCATCCCGGATCTTTCCCTGCCGAAACCTCCGGGGATTGATCCGACATGGAATAACTCTATCCGGCTAGAAGTCAGGAACGCCTCTCAGTTACTGTACCAAAATGTCCTGGTGGTTCCTCGGGGATCGACTCTTCTGGACGTCCTGGAAGCCGCAGCCCAAGATGTTCTCCAGCCTTTGAGGTCGGTGCCTTGTTCTCAGGCTTCGGGTGGCCAAGGGGAGCGTGGCAAGAGAATGGGGTGGGACGGCTGCCTTGGGACCTGCTGGGGTGGGATTCTACTGGTTCTGATGATCAGCTGTCATACTTAAGGTGGGACTAGAACTCACCGTCTCCTGGTGATTGGCCCAGAGTCACTCAGAAGTCTTTCATGCCTAAGGTGGTACTAGAACTCACAGTCTCCTGGTGATTGGCCCAAAGTCACCCAACCATTTTTCATGCCTAAGGTGGTACTAGAACTCACCGTCTCCTGGTGATT